TTTGAAAAGATGGATTAATAAAATTAATTTATCCACGAGAAAAGGATCCTTTTTTCGAGAGTCAAGTGCTTTTGTAATAATAACAGCGACGCATTAAGGATATTTCTATTCATTCATTACCAATCATCACGCTTTTAAAAAAAGATAATATGAAGAGAAAATCCGTATATCGCTGGCTGATCAACGAACTTTAGAACAGTCACCATTAAAAGTATTCGAAATATAACAATTTTCTCCAACTTTAAATCTTTATTACTCGTCGCAGAACAAACAAAAAACAAAAAATCACTTTACTCATGATTAGAACATTGTTTTAACTTCTAAAGTAACTTGGTAATTAAAAATTTTCCGCCAACACAAATTTATTGGAAAATAATAAAATTTCACAGTTTTAAAGCCCAGACAGTGTAAAAATCAGTTTTTCAACAATAAAGCCCATACACATTTCTGCAAAGGCACGCGAGGCCCTCGAAGTTGGATGATATTTTGGCTCTCTCAGAGAGTCAATTATGCACATTTTTCTTTTTGGCAAATGAAGTATACCACGGTTTATATCGCCTCAAAGTCTTCCTAATACTAAAATATGAGCGAATTCGATTTTTCGAGACATCCTCTCTTCATTTCTTATTATTTATGCTTATTTCTATTCAGCTTTATTATTTCTTTATTATTTATTATTTTTATTGTTTTTGGCGGGTCTTCCGCTAGGTTGAAGTTTCCCATCGCGAAAAATTTTGTTTTCTCCTTCTAAATTTCAGTTCAATCTGACTCAAAAACTTGAGAGACACGTTTTAGTAGCCGACTGAGGAATCTTCTCTCTGGAAAAAAAATTTTCGTTATCTAAGTTATAGAATTAGTATGCAATGAATTATAGAGAAAGTATTAGCAGTATTTAGAACGCAAATATTAGAACTCTAATATATGAGCTAAGTAACTGTGTGCTAAATTTCATCTTTTATAATTATATTGTCTAGAAACGAGGTAACTGACTTTCTTGTCTCTCTTGACTACTCACCGATAGAAGAAATGTCTGCTGTGTGTTAACCTTGGGAAGTCCACAAGTTATGAGCAAGCTGCATCTAGGCAGTACCTATTTATTTGCTATTGCTTACTATCAATCACGTGACTTTTTGGAGTTGACTGGGGGGCAAACAAGCGGTTGGCTGGGGGGCAAACAAGCGGTTGGCTGGGGGGCAACTAGCGGATGCTAAGTCAAAACATATCAAAATAAGTCCTCAAACTATTGTATTTGACTATTTTCACGACATCAAACCAGAAAACAAGGGATAAAAACAACCTTCAGGATTCTACAAGCCATCAAAAAAGAGCTATTACCGGAAGTGACGTCTATTGATAGCAACCTATTGTAGGTATTGTATAAGAAAAAAAGGGTRGATCCTCGGCATGGGACCCCGCTGCTGAAAGACGACAGTCTAATATTAATTAACRAGGGGTAGCAATGCTTTTATCAATTTCGCGCACAAATTAAAATTATGCTAAACAGAAATTCGCATAGTTCTTGATTTCAAACGTTGACAAAGTTTTCATAGGCTCTGTTGTATTTGCTCACAAGTTATGAGCAAGCTGCATCTAAAAAGTATCTATTTATTTGCTATGGTAGGTATTGTATAAGAAAAAAAGGGTGGATCCTCGGCATGTGGCCCCGCTGCTGAAAGACAGTCTAATATTRATTAACGAGGGGTAGCAATGCTTTCATCAATTTTGCGCGCAAATTAAAATTATGCTAAACAGAAATTCGCATCGTTCTTGATTTCAAACGTTAACAAAGTTTTTATAAACGTGGTCTTAGTCTCTCAGAAAGGCAAAGATAATAGTTTTCTTTCTAAAAGTTTCAGAACGAAGGCAGGCACCCTTTAATCGATCTGCTATGCTATGACTTGAGGGGTGGATTAACGAATGTTTATCAATGGACTGACTACGGCGGACTACGTTCAATCAAGCAAACTTAATTCATGCTAAACAGAAAGTTGCATTATATTTTTCTTGATTCCAAAACTTCAAAATGTTTTCATAGGTGCTGTCTTATTCTCTCAAAATAGGCAGAGATAATGGTTTTATATTAAAAATATTGACCGAAGGAAACTACCCTTTAATCGATTCCCTATGCTATTAAACTTTTAACAGTTTATTTATTTATAAGATGCTGAACAGAGAGACAAGAAGAAAAAGATCTACGAGAAGTGGCTAGTGGGTCCGCAGGAAGAGCATAAAGAATTGAGCAGTAAGGCAACATTGATAAACTCGAACGCGCGTAAACAATTTGCTGGCTAACTGTCGTCGAGGGCCGGCAAATCGAGAAGGGACTGTGAAATTGAAATGAAAAATTTGTTTCAATTGATGATTTTGTATTGTTTTACTCTCTCTCTMTATATCTATATACAGCGCGTTGCAAAAATTCTGTAAATAAAATGAATATCGATATGGATTTTCAAATTAAAAAACTTTTTAAAAAAGGTACTAGGTTAAAAACAATATTTTCGGTGAAATATAATCACAGTGTACATTTTAAGCATTAATACTAGATGTTTGACTACTTTTTGGTTGAAAATCATAATATTTATTTGGCAAAGTACAGAATCATTTTTCCTTCTCTGTGCACGGTCAACGTCATATAACAATGGATAAGTCGAACGAAAACCTAGAACAAAAGGTTTCCAAACGATCCGCACCATTAACTATGCGGGCAGCCTGATTATGACAAACGGGCTGAAACCATAACTCAGAACTACTCCAGATAGAATATTTTGCTTTATTTTTGGTCTTTTGTCTTTTGCTTTTTTGCTTAACTTATTACTAATAGCTTCTCAGTTTAAGCACTGAACGAGACAAACAAGAGCAAATGTTTGAATATAATCATTATTGGCACGTTAGAGTGTTTTCATCATAATCCGATATAAGCACCTATTGTATTATTTTCAAATTCTCTTGTCTGTCCAAATTAAATAAGATTGATTTGTAGTAATAAATTATGCGTTCGGTGTGTGTAATGAAATAGAGAGAATAAGAGAAAAAAAACAAATGCCCTTGGCGGGAAACGAACCAAGGGCATTTGATATTTTTCTCTTATTCTCTCTATGAGATTAATTTGGATTGTTATTTCCATTCGCATTCTTTCGAGGGAATTAAAACTATGACTTATGGAATCAGCCTAGTATAGTTTGGGATGATATAATTAATCTGCAATAGGACTACGTGTCTGTCCAATACGCCTTTTTCCAGTTCCATTCAGTGACAACGAATGATAGTTCCTATCCGAGCCTGGAGTTTCCTAGTCTCCCCCACAGCCGCTTTCAGTGTCGTCACGCAACGCTTTCTCCCCTGACTAGAGTCAGGGGAGAAAGCGTTGCCTGACGACACTGAAAGCGGCTGTGGGAGAGACTACAAATTGAGCTAATTCTCTCAGTATACGCGAAGTAAATACCAGAACTGTGAGCGTTACCCAGAAGTTTACAATGAATACCCGTGGAAGTCAACGGTGTGACAGTGTCAGATTTAAAAGTTATCTAGCCTTTTTGCGATTACACTGCATTCGTTGTTTAAAATAAGTGATCTGCGCGGCTCATTTTCTTCGTTTATTAAAAATACTGTCAGACTTTAT